AAAACCCAGTCCAGAGTGCTGCAGGGCCCAAAAGGAACAAGGTGTCTTTCTCAGGTAAGATAGTCTCCCCGCCCAGCAAAGACTCAGCCAGGGTTCAGGGACCTGAATAGTCAGGGTTCTGGGATCTATTCTCACCGTGAGGTAAACTCATCCCAGTAAACCCAGCGTCCCATGTCCTGAGAATCCCTTGCAGCCCAAGCAAACCAGGACTGCTGGTCACCTGCCTGACGGCTTCTTCTTCTGCAATAGGCTTGTTGGGGAGGGGAAAGTTCCCTCTCTGCCCATCCTGAGTTTGTGTGGCTGGACTAATAATAGAATTGACATAAAACAGATTAACAGGAGAAAAAGACACAAATTTTAACTCATGCATATGGAGGTCCCAGAGAAATGGGCTCTAAGAAGTAACCAAAGCAGGCAGTTTTTATACTGTTTTAGACAAAGAAACGATAAATTTGTAAGGAATTGACAGCACAGAGAAACTTGGGTTCTGGGCACCCAGTTAGTGAAGAATCTAAACCCAGTTTGGGCTTGGGGTAGTGAGCACAAGCAGTAACGTGGTTTGTTTATATAGGCTTCTCAGTCCCATTCCCTATCTTTGGTGATAAGGGTGTCCTTCCGTCTCCACACACAGGGGGTGCACCTTTCACATGAGAGGTTTATTTCCTGCTTTCAGGGAGACAGAAAGGAGAGTCAGAGTGTCCTTTCTTACATTGGCGATTTCTCAAGTAACTTTAATTCAAAATATGCCTTTGAGGTGGCCTACCCTGGGCCCCAAAAGACCTCTTATACTACTGTTCCCCGACTTCATGGGGACCTGCTCCGGAATTTCTGCTGCCTCAAGCCCATCACCTAGAATATGCAGAGCGGCTCCTTCTGGGTCAGGGGAAGGGACAGCATGGGCTGGGTGGGTCACTGGGGACAGAGGAGACCACAAGACTGAGGAGGAGTGGTTCCCAAGGAACCTCAACTGTTGGAGAATTGGATGGAGGACTCCTGCCTTTTATTGAGTGTCTGTATGTGTTTCTGTGTAGATAATGAGGATTAAACAGTACCTAGTATAGTGGAAAACTTGTGAGATTTACTATGTTTGGAGACAGGGAAGAACTACTAAAGGGAAGGCTGCCTTAAACCCTATTTGTAAGTGAGCAGAACGTGAGTTATTAAAATGTAAATAACAAAGAGGAGAGCCAAACTTTGTTAGTATAAAACAGCTGTAATAATTACAGTAATTTATATCTAATGACCATGTAG